ACTAATCAGATCATGCATCCATTGGATGTAAAACGTACAGCTTATTGCACCAGCATGCGTCTGCTCTTATATCATTAGCTTACAGCTTTAAGTGTTTAAGGTATGTGCTAACTAAAAATAAAGACAAGATGATAGTTTATTAAATGTTAATGACATTTGCAGATTGTTTCGGTGAAGTTTAATAAACTCAGCCGTCAAAAAAGCCAAACAATAACATTTTTAAGTTATCTAAGTGACTTATATATCATGTTTAACCTGAGTAGCGAAAGATGGCGGTGGGTTTGAAAACAATTTGCCGGGAGTCCGGTGTTCTCACGGGCTCTAGTGAGCCTTGAACCCCGGCTAACTATTGAGCTGGTGGGTAACAGACGTCTCCGAAAACATCGGAGCGCTTTTGAAAGTATGTGGTGTCTTGATAAACTGAGCAGATATTTACACAGCTACATTCTCGCCTGAAAATATGTTAAACGTTTATTTTGTGACCCAAAAAGAATAATAAGAGTAATATTAAAACTAGCTGCCGCCATTGTTGGAAACTGAGCTGGGCCGCACTATGAATTATGGGACACAGCTTCTTCTTCTTTGGGGTTTAACGGCAGCTGGTATCCTTGTACATGCAGTGCTGCCATCTTCTGTTTCAGTCCGTTATTACACTTTTAAATCCTGCTACTTATTCCTGCGTCTTTTGGGATCTTACAAACTTTCACCGACGCGTCGACTATTAAATTAGTCGTCCACGATTTTGATAGTCGACGTAATCGTGACTAGTCGACTAATCGTGGCAGCCCTAATATATATATATATAAATCTTATAAAGTTTGTATCTGTCTTGTGTGAAACTTGTATGAACAGCATACAAGAGTGACAACAGATTGAAAGATTTTATAAATGAAGCTTGTATGTTTTGGATACTTACTAAAACAATATATGAAAGTAATGAGAAAGTTGCCACTTTCATGAGTAAATCATACAAGCCTTACATGATTCACTATATGAAGTAGGCCACATCTGATGCAAGTCTTTTATAAGTTTTTTCTATTTCTTTTCCACATGGGACAGTTCATTTAACATTGGGCTGGGTATCGTCACTGATTTCTAGAATCGATTCCAAACACACATCAAAGCTGACGCCAACTAAGAAATTGTTTATACCCATGAGAGTATAAGATTCTCACACCAGAGCCAAAACAAGCCATATGTGAGCCTATGCAGGCCTAAGAAGTAACAATTTTAGAAGTCATTTAGAAGGTCATTAAAAAAAATGTTTGCGGATATGAGCGCTTATCTACAGATTAACTGGCTGGGCGTGGGGGAAAAGATGGTATGTGCGTGTGAGTACATGTTTGGCAATCAGAGTGGAGAAAAGAGACCAAGAATATTGTTATGACTATCTCTGAGTAACTTAGACATCAACATGATTTTCAACATTTGAATGGGGTTATTTACTGGACGCCATGTTAATGTCTATGACAGTTGCAGGAAATTTATATGATTAATAAATGTCACATTTTTATTAACAAATATCAACATTGTTGTTACAATATATGTATGAATACAGATTATTTATATACAACCATGATTTGTTGTGTGTTAGCCTATTTATTCAGTACACGTAGGTTTTTTGTTTAAATTATAAATTTCAATCAATCAACTCCGGTTAAAACAGAAATGTATTAAAAGTGTTGAAATCTGTGTTAAAATGTAAAATGACAATGTTTAATGTATGTAGAAAAACCAAAGGAGACATAAAGAGGGGAAACGTGGAAACAGTGAAGTGATAAGAGAGAGAGCAAGAGAGGGAAGGTAAGAGAGAGGGCTGGCTGGGGAGAACATACATGAAAACAAAACACAAACAGGGGAGAAATGGAAAGAATCACACAATGACGCACAGGATGTGACAGACAGGAAACAGGGAATGACACAATGATAAGAAAACATGGACTGGCAGTACAATTAACTTTGAAGGAAATAACCTAAATAGTAGAAAAGTAAAACTTTAAAACACAAAGAAATCCAGAAAAACACCATAAACTCAAAATGCTGGGTCAAATGATTAAGAACTGTGAAAAAGCAACCCTCTCATTATCAGATACTCAGGCTCTTCATGCTGCTTTTCCTGTAACTGTTTATTTAAGAGTCTGTATTGAGATTAAACAGATACCATCACAGATGGAAATCTTATGAGTCCACCCTTCATTCCCTTAAATATACTCTCTAAATCTCACACGGGCGGGATTTTTCCTGTTAACAGAGAGCCCTACTTCAAAACTGATTCCAGAGTCTTTGACCCAGTCTTTTGATTTTTTGGAGACTTTTTAGATTTTCTCTTTCATTTTGTACTTTTGATTATTTTTGATTGTGGTTTTATACTTTGTATTGATTTCTATTTTCTGTTTTTATGAAGGGAAGTTATGAGTGATATGTAACGGATTAAAAGCTCAATACTGGTACAAAATGATATATCCTGTCATCAGGTCAGCCCTGCTACAGCTGTGATGTTGTTGTTTGGAGCTCGATATGTCAGAGTGATTTTCTGGTCTGAAAGTGGAAAAAACACAGAGCAGAGGGGTTAAGGATCAAAGTACATCTATGATCAGAATGATTTACTTTAAACATTTTATTTATTTCTTTTGACATTAGAGTAGGTCATGGAGATTTTTTTTTTTGTCAGGTTCCCTTTACATCTATAAAAATTTGGACTAGAGACTTTCCCTCCTTAGACACAATATCTGTATTGAAGTGATGTCTTAATTGGAGATACCCAGTGTTGGGAAGGTTACTTTTAAAATGTATTCCACAACATATTACATGCCCCAAAATGTATTTGTAACGCATCCCGTTACATTACTCAATGAGAGTAATGAATTCTGAATACTTTGTAGTCCGTGCTGCAGGGAGAATGGACTGCCATACACGTTATGTGTCACTGCGCATGAGGGTACATTCTTTAGGGCTATGTCTGTAGCATTCTGCCTATAGCTTTGCACAACAACAACAACAACAAAGAGCTCTCTCACCTAGGAAACACACAGTCGCGGAGAGAGCGCGTCACCCTGTAACCATGGCAACCACTGCCGCCTGGAACAACAGAACATAGCTGTCAAACAAACCCAAACAGTCCTGACCCGCTAAAATATGAAACAGGAAAATACCGCCGTGTAATCCATTTATTTCAGCAAAGTAACTGTATTCTAAATATATCTTTTTAAACTGTAACTGTAACAGAATACTCATATTTTGTATTTTAAATATGTAACGGCGGTACATGTATTCCATTACTCCCCAACACTGGAGATACCTAAAACCTCCCCAGGTTGTAACTATCTGTGTCAGGGTCCTGGGTCTCCTGACCCAGCGTTTTTAGTTCTTTGTGATTTTTATATTATTGTACTTGTGTGTGATTTATTCTATGGTTTCTAGTTTTGATCCCTTGCCCTTCATGTCTCTCTGTGTCCCCTCTGTTCTGTGTAAGTCTGTGTCTGCATGTTTGAGTTTCCCTCTGTGTCTTTTGGTTCATCGAGTCCTCTGCCTTACTGGTTATGTCTCTGTGTTTCTTAGTTGCTGTCTCCACCGTGTCAAGTTCGCGTCTCTGTGTCATACTTCCTGTTTTACTTTGAAGGTCCGTGTCTTATGTGAATGTGTTCAGTTTACGCTTCCTTGTCTCGTCAGTTCTGATTTCCCCCAGCTGTGCTCTCCTTCTGTGTCTCATTCCCCTCGTTACTTCCCAGTGTATTTAAACCCTGTGTTTCTCTGAGTCAGTGTTGTGTTGTACCCTCAACAAGCTGTGTGTTTTGTCTCCAGCGCCAGTTCTGCTACAGTGTTTTAGTTTTCCTTTTGGTGAGTTTAGTTTAGTAAGAGGTTTTTCCCAGCAATAAAGCTGTGCTTTAAGTTGTACTTCTATGTCTGAGTCCTGCATTTTGGATCCACCAGTCCTGCTTGCCTGCCTGCCACACAGCGATTCATGACAATCCGATATTTGTTGAAAGGTATGTAATCTATGGGCAGAAATCTGTGCCATCAGAAACTGAATTTGAATAAGTTAAATTTGAATTTGAATTGCTCGGATTGAATCTGAATTGTAACTTGAATAAATGCTTTTGAAAACTGAATTTGAATTAGTCTAATTTGAAATTGAATTTTATATTTTGAAAATGAATTGATTTGCTTTGAAACTGCATTTTAAGTGTTAAAAATTCAGCTCTCAAATAATTTCAGATTCACTTCTCACCATTCAGTTTCAGTTCCAAAATTCAGTTTTTTGGAACTTACTTCCGGTTCAAGCGCAGATTAATAGAACTACGTTTTACTAGCGGACTGAAAGTGTTACTGACGGGAATCTACAGCATTTTGAGCTGAATTAAGACTTCAGAAGTCATTCGTCATGTCGAATGACCAGCGGATAAACTCTCAGGTTGGTAATAAATGTATTACATGTATAAGAACAAGCGTCATGTTAATAAATGATAGCCGTAGAATAACTTTTATGCTTATTGTAG